GACACATAGTGCATATTTTCTCACGTAGAGGGGGCTTTCTGATTCATGAGCCATCCACACACCGCTTGCACAATGCCAGTACCCTCGCATAAGCAGGCGGCGCTGCACTATGGAAGATGAGTACCGTTTTCCAAAACGGTGCAGTGGCGAGTCTTTGTTTCCGAGCCAAAGTTGGTTCACTCCAGCAGAAGTAGACTGAACCGAGCTAATGGAAGAATGCCAGCTCTTCCCTACGAGCCTCCTAACTTGGGGGAGAACTCAAGGACAAGTCGCGGTCACAGTAGGTGGACCCCCCTTGTCCAACAGAAAACCCAAAGGAACCATTTGAGGGTGTCTGGAATTTTGGAAGCCATCTGCCCCGGACCCGATTGTTCATCCCGAACTCGGGAATGCTCCTTGCTGATGAGCACAGGCTTCGCCACGCACCGGACCTCTGCGGCCTGGAAGGAGGTGACGGACACATCTTGGCCCATTGGGGCAAGTCTGTTTTACCTTGCTTTTAGACTACCCCAACATCTTCTGAGACCCAGAAATTGGGTTCCTTTCGGGTTGCAAGCTAAAATCCGTTTATTGGAACCCGTTCGATGCCACCCCTGCGATTTGGATGCGTGTGCGTGTGTAGATAGGGGGCCCTACAATGAGCAGTTTCTCCTTGGAAGTCCTGAATAAAACTCACCCCCAAAGGATTCCCCCCCCAAAAACAAACTAGAGGACGATTGGCCCGAAAGCATTTCTCCACAGGTGCTCATCCAGCTGTGGGGACACCTTTTTACATCGCTGCGGCGAGCGTGTCTGCGCGCGGCGATGCTCAGTGTGTATGGTCACATGAGAGCTCCATCTCATCATCCTACTTTCCTCTCGAACTGCGCCGCGCGATTTCTCACGAAAGTGGTCTGCGCAAGCTGCATTGTTCCAGGCTGCTGCGCGCAAGTTGCTCTCTGCAAGCTGCTGCGCGCAAGTGCTCTGTGCAAGTTGCTCTGCGCAAGTGCTCTGAGCAAGTTGCTCTGCGCAAGTGCTCTGCGCCAGTTGCTCCGCGCAAGCGCTTTGCGCATGTGCTCTGCGCAAGTTGGTCTGTGCAAGTTGCTCTGCGCCTGCTCTGTGCAAGTTGCTCTGCGCAAGTGCTCTGAGCAAGTTGCTCTGCGCAAGGGCTCTGCGCCAGTTGCTCCGTGCAAGCGCTTTGCGCATGTGCTCTGTGCAAGTTGGTCTGTGCAAGTTGCTCTGCGCAAGTGCTTTGTGCAATTGCTCTGTGCAAGTTGCTCTGCGCAAGTTGCTCTGCGCAAGTGACTCTGCGCAAGTTGCTCTGCGCAAGTGCTGCCGGAGCTGCGGGGGTGTGCTCCGCGTACTACGTTTGTACTTAAAAGTTGCGATTCTCCAGCCGGAGCTGCGGGGGTGTGCTCCGCGTACTACGTTTGTACTTAAAAGTTGCGATTTTCCAGCCTGAGCTGCGGGAGCACGCTCCGCATACTACGTCTGTACTTAAAAATTGCGATTTTCCACCCGGAGCTGCAGGAGCACGCTCCGCGTACTACGTTTGTACTTAAAAGTTGCGATTTTCAAGCCGGAGCTGCGGGGGTGTGCTCCGCGTACTACGTTTGCACTTAAAAGTTGCGATTTTCCAGCCTGAGCTGCGGGAGCACGCTCCGCACACTACGTCTGTACTTAAAAGTTACGATTTTCCAGCCGGAGCTGCAGGAGCACGCTCCGCGTACTACGTTTGTACTTAAAAGCTGCGATTTTCAAGCCGGAGCTGCCGCGGACCAGGGGGGAATCGAACCCGGGACCGCGGGATTGCGAAAGCAGGCGCGCAAACCACGAGACGACTTCCAAAGGCCGTTTCGCGAGCAAGAATATTGCACGGCGCCACAGCGGGAGCGCTTCGACACTCACAATCTCCGCAGAGGGTTCGCCGAGACTAAGACAAATTCGCACGGCGCCACAGCGAGAGCGCTTCGACGCGCACGATCTCCGCAGAGGGTCGCGCGCGCACCGCAGAAATCGTAAAAAGTCCTGAGTTTTTGAACCTCGACCACGCGAATCTCCGCAGAGGGTCGCGCGCGCATGCTAAAAATCGTAAAAAGTCCTCAGTTTTTGAACCTCGACCACGCGAATCTCCGCAGAGGGTCGCGCGCGCATGCTAAAAATCGTAAAAAGTCCTCAGTTTTTGAACCTCGACCACGCGAATCTCCGCAGAGGGTCGCGCGCGCATGCTAAAAATCGTAAAAAGTCCTCAGTTTTTGAACCTCGACCACGCGAATCTCCGCAGAGGGTCGCGCGCGCATGCTAAAAATCGTAAAAAGTCCTCAGTTTTTGAACCTCGACCACGCGAATCTCCGCAGAGGGTCGCGCGGGCATGCAAAAATCGTAAAAAGTCCTCAGTTTTTTAACCTCGACCACGCGAATCTCCGCAGAGGGTCGCAATCCCGAGCGACGATCAAACTCCCGCCCCGGCGCCTTAGAAACCTAAACTAACTTACATAGCTGCTAACGCCGAAGCTCTAAGCTCTATGTAACTTGGCTCTATGTAACTTGGCTCTATGTAACTTGGCTCTATGTAACTTGGCTCTATGTAACTTGGCTCTATGTAACTTGGCTCTATGTAACTTGGCTCTATGTAACTTGGCTCTATGTAACTTGGCTCTATGTAACTTGGCTCTATGTAACTTGGCTCTATGTAACTTGGCTCTATGTAACTTGGCTCTATGTACTTGGCTCTATGTAACTTGGCTCTATGTAACTTGGCTCTATGTAACTTGGCTCTATGTAACTTGGCTCTATGTAACTTGGCTCTATGTAACTTGGCTCTATGTAACTTGGCTCTATGTAACTTGGCTCTATGTAACTTGGCTCTATGTAACTGGCTCTATGTAACTTGGCTCTATGTAACTTGGCTCTATGTAACTTGGCTCTATGTAACTTGGCTCTATGTAACTTGGCTCTATGTAACTTGGCTCTATGTAACTTGGCTCTATGTAACTTGGCTCTATGTAACTTGGCTCTATGTAACTTGGCTCTATGTAACTTGGCTCTATGTAACTTGGCTCTATGTAACTTGGCTCTATGTAACTTGGCTCTATGTAACTTGGCTCTATGTAACTTGGCTCTATGTAACTTGGCTCTATGTAACTTGGCTCTATGTAACTTGGCTCTAACTTGGCTCTATGTAACTTGGCTCTATGTAACTTGGCTCTATGTAACTTGGCTCTATGTAACTTGGCTCTATGTAACTTGGCTCTATGTAACTTGGCTCTATGTAACTTGTCCAAGGGCTCCGCACGGAAGAACCCTGCGCGATGCTTTCGGGAAAAAAGAAATTGAGTTCCTTTCGGGTTCTACACTCATGGCTGTCTTTTAGTGCAAGCTAAAATCCGTTTATTGGAACCCGTTCGATGAAACCCCTGCGATTTGGATGTGTGTGCGTGTGTAGATAGGGGGCCCTACAATGAGCAGTTTCTCCTTGGAATTCCTGAATAAAACTCACCCCCAAAGGATTCTCCCCCCCCCCAACAAAAAAATGGGCCGGGGGAACCGAGCTTGTTCTTTCGGGCAACCATTCAGGTTCCCTGTTGTTGTTTGTCATTTAATGAAAGGATGGAGCTAGAATGCAAGGAGACTCTACTGCAACATCCCTACTTGCTAAGTGGCCTGCAAGCTGCCTTGAGGGTCAGACAGGATGCTTGAAACTCAAAGCAAAGTACAGCTTGAAAAAGGTACCAATGTTGGCCCAAAAGGATAGCCGCTGTTGGCCATTGCCGCTGGCTCTGCTCCAGTACAAAAGTATGGGGCACCCCTTGACTTGTTCTTGACTTTCAAGGGAACCCAGCCAAA